CTTCTCTTCTCTTCTCTTCTCTTCTCTTCTCTTCTCTTCTCTTCTCTTCTCTTCTCTTCTATTCTATTCTATTCTATTCTATTCTCAAATACTCTTATTGGTCTCACAACCCTTTTTCTTTCTTCCAGTCTTGTTCCTAGCCTGAAAATGGCTTTTTCCAGGATGAACGTGTCACCTGCTCTGCTCTTCTTCCTCTTGCTATTCCACTGGATGCCAAGCTTTGGTGGCTCCCAGCAAGATACCTGCCAGACCTGTCGAGAACTTGTTGATAATTTCAATAAGGTGGGAGGCTAGAAAGGATCTCCAAAATGGAGTGGGAGTATGTAATCATGATTAAGGCAAAGTGGACATCCCATTTAGCTGGGATTGCTGGGCATTCATCTCCCCCCCCCTCCAGTCTCAGAAGAGGGGGTGGGGGTGGGGGAGGGAAGTGCTCTGGAGCAAATGCTGCTGAGAGAGGTATGGAGATGTGTAGAGGATGATGAGGGGCAGGAAGCAGCAGTGGAGAGGGCCAGTTTGTATTGCATGGGGTTGAGGGCTGCTGTGCTGGTATGGGGCAAGAAGATCAGCTCTGGCTTTGCTGTGAGGTTTTTTCCTGCCTTCTCAGGGTCTGGAGCGGACACAGCGAGAGAACTTCGGGGGCGGGAACACCGCCTGGGAAGAAGAGAAGCTTGCCAAATACGCCAACAGGTGATTTGAAGGCTGGGCTGCAGCAGGCCATTGGTGAGATGCTGACACTGCAGGACCCAGGCAATACCAGTATCCTTGTTGGGAAGTAGCAACCTCTTACTTTAGCATCCTGATTGCATAAAGTCCAACCAGATGGGCCTCAACATCCAAAACGAAGTCTCTTTAAAAACAACAACAACAACAACAAGGCTATGATAACTGAGATAGTCATTTGATTTTAAACATTATTGTGGCAAATCTGACAATACCCCAATTTTCAGACTGTTTTTTTTGCAGTTGGAGGCCGACCAATAGTGTACATGTGGACTTCAGTTCCCAGAATTCCTCAGCCAGCATGGGAGTTGAAGTCCATGAGTCTTAAAGTTGCCAAGGTTGGGAACCCTTGCCTTACAGAGAGGGCACTTCCAATGAGGAAAACATGAACAGAAGTCATTAGGTCTAGTCCAGTGATGGCTACCCTTTTTCTCCTCGTGTGCCAAAATAGTGCCTGCATCAGCGTGTGTGCGTGCCCACACCCATAATGCAAGGTGCCCTTACCCCCCTGTGCATGCACCGCATCTCACACATGCGTGGCAGAGACCCGAAAATCAGCTGGCCGGCGGG